CCCCCCCCCCCCCCGCACTCAGCTCGCCCCCTCTGGTGACCATGCCCGCCTGCGCTTCCGCTAGCGGTGGTGGTTTTGTGTCATTAGCATTTCTGGAATGACTTATTCTCAAGTTTGTGTGTCATATGAGAAGCTAGAGGATTGAATTGGCCTGCGTCCGGAGGTAGCGGGAGGACTGCCTTTGGCCTGCGTGACAGTCTAAGATGCACATACTTTTCTTATAAGAAAGGAAGTGGTGAAGGGGGCCTCACGGTGACATTTCTGGGCAGGCAGAGAACAATGCGCTTCTTACATGCCCTATGGCGTCCTGTCTGTGGTGACATCCTTTCCCATTTTAGTCAGAAGCCTGAGTCAGAGAGGGTGAGACAGCCCCAGGTGTCGGGAGTGAGTCAGGGAAGGAAGGCAGAGGCCTGGCTCAGAGGCCTTCGCTGTCTTGGCAGCCACTGTTCTCTAGCTCCTTCCTGAGGGGCCGGCAGAAGTGAGCTTACGGGACCCCTAAGGCAGACCTGAGAGATTTGGGGGGCCCAGGGATGGCGGCTCCCCTCCCTGGAGGAGGACGAGCCTGGGTCCTCCCCTCAGTGACGGTGCCAGTCTGGTCAAGCCTGAACGGGGCTGGGGAGTTTGGAGAGTGGCCTGGGCCCTCAACCTTTCTAAGTCACCACCAGCCCCAAGCGCCCAGGGAAGGCTCTGGGCTTTGGGACGAAACACACACATCCCTTTTCTTCTGTAATAAAATTCTTGCTAAACTGTAAAAGAGAAACCATAAAAGTATATTGATAATACAAAAATTATCTTATACACCTTTATTAATTATTAACAGTTTGAGAAAAGCCCAAAGAACAATATAACTATTATTATAATTAATATCATAAGCAGACAGGTAAAGACAATCAAGTGGTTTTTTAAGTTCAGGATCAATTTGTGGGTATACAGGCCTTGTCAATGTCTTGGGATAGCTGTCTATCTCTGATGTCAGTGGCTTCTCATCCCAGAGGAGTCTTTAATCTTCACTGTAGGTCAGCGGTTCTCAACCTGTGGGTTGCCAACCTGTGGGTCTCAACCTCTTTGGGGATTGAACGACCATTTCACAGGGGTCGCCTAAGACCATCGGAAAACACATATATAATTACATATTGTTTTTGTGATTCATCACTATGCTTTAATTATGTTCAATTTGTAACAATGAAATTGGGGGTCACCACAACATGAGGAACTGTAGTGAAGGGTCGCGGCATTAGGAGGGTTGAGAACCACTGCTCTAGAGAAAAACTCTAAGCCGGGCCTGAGCCGCTCTGAGCCAGGGCTTCTTAGCCCAGCACTGTTGGCATTTGGATCAGACGATCTTTGGGCGTCGGGGTGTCCTGTGTACTGTAGGATCTAGTAGTGTCCCCACTCTCTACCCACTAGACTCTAGCACCCCACCAAGGGGACTGCCACAAATCCTTCCAGATATTGCCAAGTGCTTCTTGCGGGGTAAAGTCACCCCTAGTTGAAATCCACTGCTTTAGACAAATTACCTCAGACGGGAAGCCCCAGGAACCCCCAGACCAAGCCAGCAGCCAGCTCTCTGCCCTCAGCATATGCCAGGGGCTGGCTCTGGCACTCACAGCAGCTCCCATGGCAGCACTGGTGTCCGAGAGGTCAGGCTGCCAGTGGCCATGTGTGCCAGGAGTGGCTGCAGGAGGCCTGTGGCCCTGAGGCTCTGGGACTCGGCCCAGCAGCTTGGTCTCTGGCCACTCACTTTGGCTAAAGAGCAAAAGAAGACCTCGAGTGGGGGTGGGGGCCCAAGAGGTAAGACGGTTATAAGTTTGGGGATGTTGGAAGCGGTTCCACTTAGAGGCAGAAAGGCCAAGTCAAAGGACCTCAATAATCAGCAGACATTGGTTAAGCCCCTACTGTGTACCATGTGCTCCATTACATGCCAATGACACAGGACACCAACAGGACTGTAGCATAGGGGTGAGCGGTCGGGCTGACGGGGCTGCAGTCTGGCCTTGCCACCTACGACTTCGTGATTCTGGCAAGTTTACCTCTTTCCTCATCACAAATGTGATGGTAGTGCCCGTGGGCTCGTAAGACAACCCCCAGGGTTATAAGCTTTAAAGGAGACAATGCCTTGAAGGCCCCTGTCAAAGTGTTAAGCCCTTAATGTATGGTTTTATTATTTTTTTAATATCATGACATGGCCTCTGTCTTTGGGGCACTTACAGTAAGGCCCCCAGGCTCCCAGCTGGAGAGCCTGGTGCTGTCACCATGGCCCGGGAGGCATCATTGTAAGTCCACGCAGGACTCTGCCCATGGCTTCCTGCTCAAGAAGAGGCCTCAGTCACACAGTAACTCCAGATTAGTCCACAACCCCTAACCACTCATTAATTTCATGTTTGTCTCCTTTCCCTTTCTTGGGGTGGGTTAGCGAGTTTCATCGGGTCTCCTCCTGGGGTTACCTTAAGCAAAAGCTGCCTCCTTGTGGAGACAGGCAGCAGGGCTGACGAAGGGACACTTGGGACCCGTCCCTGCTGGGGCGAGGGCCAAGCCTGGCCCCACCACCCTATGTTCCTGTCCCAGGCACGTCACTGCGGGGCTCTCCACTCTGCAGGGAGGGACACCCTGACCCTGGACAAGGCCTAGGACTGTGGTGGGGGCGGGGTGCTGAAGAGCTTGAGAAGGCGCTGGCAGAGCCGGGTGGGCCTGAGGCCCAGACTTTGAGCTCCGCAGCCCAAGCGACTCAGCCCACGTGGGCTGCCTGAGATTTCCTGGAAGTTGATTCAGCTCCAGGAATCAGGACAGAAGCCACTGGGCACCTAGACAACCAGATGTGATGGGATCTGAGAAGTTCCAAGAAGCCTGTCTGCAGCTCCTGGAGGTCCCCTGTAAGCTATACAGGGCCCTCTCCCCGTGCCCCTGTTGAAAGCACAAAATCCTCACTGGGCCGGTGTGGCTCAGTGGTTGAGCTTCGACCTATGAACCAGGAGGTCACAATTCAAGCCCCGGTCGGGCACATGCCCGGGTTGCAGGTTTGATCCCCAGTGTGTGGCATGCAGGAGGCAGTTGATCAGTGATTCTCTCTCATCATTGATGTTTCTATCCCTCTCTCCCTCTCCCTTCCTCTCTGAAATCAATACAAATCTATGTTTTAAAAACAACCCACAAAATCCTTACTCATGTTGCACATGCCAGCCGCCTGGGGAGAACCCTAAGGAAGGGACCATTTCCTGGCAGGGCTGGCAGGAGAGCTTGGACCCAGAAAGGCAAGGAGCCTCGAAGGCTTCCAGGGATGGGCCCAGCCTGCCACTCAGCACCACCTCCCCTCCCTGCCCACAGGATAGGCCTACCTTCCCTTCCTTGTGGGGGCCCTCAGGCAGGAGTTCCATGCTTGGGAGCAAGTGGAGGGGCTCCTCTGGGGAGCCCTTAGAAAACCTCCCCGGGACCCCTGGACCCAAGGATGGGGTTTGGGTTTCTCTGGAACCATGTCCCCAGCCTGGGGGTCTGGAAACCCCCCGATGGAAACATGGCTCTGGGATCCTCTGTGGGGAGCCATGGGAACCACTGCCTCTGACCCAGATTCCCCAGGGAGCCCTGCAGCAGCGGGGGGACTGCCTCCCAGTGGCCTCCTGGGGCCTGGCTGTCAATTCCCCAGGAAGAAACACCCAGCACAAGAGCACCCCAGGGACTCTGCCTTTTATGTCTTCCCGGGAGCAGGCAAATTGGTTGTAGAGGTTCCTGTTTGGTCTGCTCAGCTGGGAGCCATGGGGGCTGGTTTCCCCGAGCAGAACTGTGGTTTGGCTTCAGCTCCGTTTGAAAACCTTTGCTTGTGGCACCTCCCCAATTTGGTGTGATGCCCTGCCTAACCCTGCCCATGTCTGGGGGTCCCAGCAGCCACCCCCTGTCTCTGGGAAGTTTGCTCCAAACATTCCCACAGCCAAACCCCTCTCCATGTCTTTATTTTTTCCCCTGCAGCCCAACTCCTCATTCCGGCCACCACAGAAAGACTCCCCCGCAAGCCTGGTGGCCAAGGCCCAGTCATTGCCTGCAGACCAGCCCATAGGGACCTTCAGCCCTCTGACCACCTCAGATACCAGCAGCCCCCAGAAGTCCCTCCGTACAGCCCCAGCCGCCGGCCCTCCTCCGGGCCGGTCTTCCCCTGCTGGTTCCCCCCGCACCCGGCACGCCCAGATCAGCACCAGCAACCTGTACCTGCCCCAGGACCCCGCAGTAGCCAAGGGTGCCCTGGCCGGTGAGGACACGGGCATCGTGACGCACGAGCAGTTCAAGGCTGCACTCAGGATGGTGGTGGACCAGGGCGACCCCCGGCTGCTGCTGGACAGCTACGTGAAGATTGGCGAGGGCTCCACGGGCATCGTCTGCCTGGCGCGGGAGAAGCACTCGGGCCGCCAGGTGGCCGTCAAGATGATGGACCTCAGGAAGCAGCAGCGCAGGGAGCTGCTCTTTAATGAGGTGGGAGGAGAGGGTGGGTGCGGGCGGGCATCTGGGCTGGGCAGTGAACACCGAGCCAGGACGGACAGGGACAGGTACAAGCAGGGCGGTGCGTCCTACCCGGCACTCAGGCACCTCCCCCCACCCCGCCCCCAGGTGGTGATCATGCGGGACTACCAGCACCTCAACGTGGTGGAGATGTACAAGAGCTACCTGGTGGGCGAGGAGCTGTGGGTGCTCATGGAGTTCCTGCAGGGCGGGGCCCTCACGGACATCATCTCCCAAGTCAGGTGGGCAGCTGGAGGGCTGGGTCCCAAGTGCTGGCTGCCCCCACCACTGCCCTGGAAGGGTTTCAGGCAGCCTCGGGCCCAGCAGACTTGGGGGAACTATCAGATCGTCCTGAGCTCACCTGTCTGTGTGGATTCATAGACCCGAGGGCCTCAGGGGAGTGGGAGGGCAGGAGGTGTCCAGCCTAGGCCCAGGCCCATTTCCGCCAGGTCTGGGCTCCCACACACAAGGCCCAGGGGCTGTGGGGCCTGGTACCAGGGGCTCCCAGCCCATCTGTCCTGCAGCCCAGCCAAAGCTAACATTCTCTCCCTGCCTTCCCTGTCCAGGCTGAACGAGGAGCAGATCGCCACCGTGTGCGAGGCCGTGCTGCAGGCCCTGGCGTACCTGCACGCCCAGGGCGTCATACACCGGGACATCAAGAGCGACTCCATTCTGCTGACCCTGGATGGCAGGGTAGGGCCCTCCCCACCCTGGCACACCCATGCTCCCCACTGCCCTGCTCCCGGCATAGCTCCTCCTCCTAACTCACCACTTCCCTTTTCCCTCTTACCCCCGCCCTAGGTGAAACTGTCAGACTTCGGATTCTGTGCTCAGATCAGCAAAGACGTCCCTAAGAGGAAGTCCCTGGTGGGAACGCCCTACTGGATGGCCCCTGAAGTGATCTCCAGGTCTCTGTACGCCACCGAGGTAACCCTGCCCTCCACCCCCCAGTCCTCCCGGAAGAGGCGTGGGAACACACAGCTCTAACACTTTTGGCCCCTCCCATCAAAAATAGGCCGTTTCTCGGGTTCCCACTCAGTCAGTCCCCTACCCCACTGCCCACTGTCCCTTCTTGGAGGCATCTGCTCTTGCCTGTGACTTTGCTGCCACAAACTGGTCCCCAAAATGCTAGCCCTCAGCTCAAGGGCCAGGGGTATGGCCAGGCTTCCCCATGTGCGATGTCCTTTCTCAGAGAGTGGCTGACCGCTGTGTCCCTAGTCAAGGTCACTCGTGCAGGAAGTAACTGCCCACAGGGCCAGTGGCCGGACGGAGGCCAACTCACTAAGGAGAACTGAGACCGCGGTGGCCTCCCTGGACTGCGGCGTGCTGTGACCACGGGGCCAGGCTCTGGCCAGTGGAGTCAGGGACGTTCTCCTCCTGCAGGTGGATATCTGGTCTCTGGGCATCATGGTGATTGAGATGGTGGACGGGGAGCCACCCTACTTCAGCGACTCCCCAGTGCAAGCGATGAAGAGGCTCCGGGACAGCTCCCCGCCCAAGCTGAAGAATTCCCACAAGGTCAGTCCATGCACAGTGTGGCCCCACAGACCGAATGCTTCCTGGGGCTCAGAGGCCCAGAGCCTGGGCTCCAGCCCAGCCCTCCATTTCGCAGAAGCCGAGGGTCCGGGATGCTGGAAGAGGTACCCCTTTCTCCATATGACACCTGCACCTGGGTGTGGAGCCACATCTAAAAGCAAACTCCCATGGTCACTCGGACAAGTTTCTCCCTGCAAGGGATTGGTAGGAGCCTGAGAGAAGGGAAAGCAACGCGTCCAGGAATTCCTGATGCTCTGGAGAAGAATCTAGAGAAGCTGAGCGGACACCTCAACCCCTTCTCTCAGGGGAGCCGTACCATGGCAGCATCCCCCAGTCCATCGCAGGGAATCGGCTTGTCCTCCATCACTGCACTTTCTGACCACATCTGAGCTAGTTTTTCCCTTAAAACCTGTGTGTGTGTGTGTGTGTGTGTGTGTGTATGTGTAAACCTTTTCAACCTAATCTACCCAAACCAGGAGGCCTTACAAGCCTGCCCTCCCCGCCCCCTTCATCCCACCCCTGGCCAGGTCAGCACAAAGCTGCAAAGTGGCACCACCACCTAGTGGCCAGAGTGAGAAGTGTCCCAGAGTGTTGAAGCCCTGTCCCCACATGGCAAGATCTGTGGCCCCCCAACACAGCTACTGGTAGATGGGAGGACAGACGGGAACGCCTCAGAGACAGCTGGTCCTTGGAGACCACTGCTGACCACAAGATTAGCAGATAGGGGAGAGTTCTAGTTGACTAATTCCCCAGAGGAGGTAGCCTTCTGTAACAGACCCAAGACTCAGCCTCTCCCAAGATACTGGCTCAAAAAGAACCAATACAAGACTTTGACTTAGACTCAAGTCTTAGAGCAATAAAGAAATCTTTCTTTTCAGGCCCCCCCCCACCCCTTGTTCTTTTCTATTTTCCAAAAACACTTCTTCGCCCCTGACCTCGTTTTTGTCCTCACTGAAGTCCTCCGTGGCAGACAGAACAAGAACATTAGCCCATTTTGCAGATGAGAAAACGGAGGCCTAGAGAAAATTGCAATTTGCCAGAGATTATAGATAAACCCAGAACTAGATCACTGATACCAATCCCATGCCCCTTTCCATGGAACCTGAAAGCTGAGAGAGCCCAAAGAAACAGGGTGTGGAAGGGTCTGTATTTAGAGTCCAACCCCCCGCCCCCACACACACACACACCCCAGCACTCCAGGTGCCCTAATCCCATTGCTCAGCAGCACCCCCTGGAGGCCATCTGACCACTTTTCCTGGACTAATGCTGATTTTCTTTACTTACTTGATAATCCCAGAAACGCTCATCCTGGGAGGAAGTAAGAAAGAAAAGAAAGAACTTCAGACTTTCACATGATGGTGGGATCAGGCATATGGGTCCCCCCAAAATGACTACAAATTGTCGCTTCATTTCACTGCCTGGTCTCCACAGGTTTCCCCAGTGCTGCGAGACTTCCTGGAACGGATGCTGGTGCGGGACCCCCAGGAGAGAGCCACAGCCCAGGAGCTCCTGGACCATCCCTTCCTGCTGCAGACTGGGCTCCCCGAGTGCCTGGTCCCCCTGATCCAGCTCTACCGCAAGCCGACCTCCACCTGCTGAGCCCACCCGAGTGCGCCTGCCGCCTGTGCCCACGGGCAGGGGCACGGGGCAGCCAACTCATTCTCTCAGTATTCTCTCCAAAGATTGAATGTGAAACTCCCCCCCTCCTGCCCCTCCGCCCACTGGGCCAGGCCGGACCTGCCCCTTAGTCTCTCCCCCTCCCAAGAGAGTCCCCAGTTGCCTTTGGGATGATGGAGACCCCTTTTTCAGGATGACCCTTTGTTATTTGCACAGGGATATTTCTAAGAAACACGGAGACCAGCACTTCTGGCCACGACAGCCAACACAGCAGAAATGGCTGCTGCGTGTTTTTTTTTTAAGGCAGCATCCCAGGCCACCCATGAGGGCAGAGTGCCTGTCTTTACCAGGCTACTTGCTGTCCTCAGCTCCAGTTCCTAACCCTGATGTTTCAAGAGGGCCATGGGGGAGGTTTTATTACCTAAGTCTATCTATCTTCCCTGTGTCTGACTTCCTGAAGGCACAGTCCCACCTGCACCTGCTTCCCGACCCGCCTGCACTGCCAACACACAGCACTGTCATGCACAGCCTGCTCCGAACTATGAACAGCCTGCCTGTGGGCCATGGGAGCAGAAGGGACATTTTCTGGGTGAAAGAGAGATACTGGGGTTGGTGGTAAAGGTGGTGTCACTTTACAGGATGCAAGTGCTCGTGTGTGTGTGTGTGTGTGTGTGTGTGTGTGTGTGTGTGTGTGAGAGTGAAGGTCACCCCGAGAGCCTGGCCCCTTCAGTAAGGCTTCCTCATCCTCTTTCCCACTGAGTTCTGCTCTGAAGAGACCTGCTTCCTTGGCATGGCTTCCCACCCCTTAAGTCCCGTGTCTCTACCTGACCAGAGAAGAGGTTTGTATTGAGGCCGACACATCCGGGGGGCTGGGCAGCTTTCCGAGTTTCTCCCGTACGATGGAGTCGGAGCCCACGTGTGCAAGGAGGAGGAAAGAAACTTCATTTTACCTGTTAGCTTCATCTCAATCACCAGGACATCAGGGACCCTTCTTTTCAAAATCCTGGTCTGGGGGAGGTGAACCAGTTCCCGGGGTTCCATCAGGTCAAGAGACTGGCACCCCATTTGTGAAAACCATCTGCCTCTCACTGCCTCCTTGGGCACCTGTCTCTTGTCCTCCTTCCCTGCGTGCCTTCAGGGCTATTGTGAGACAGGGACGCCCCGGGAAGCGCTCCAGGTGTCTGGGCCCAATCTAGATCATATTTTTAGATTCCTCTGCTCCCTTGTGGCCTAATTTGGGGCAAAAAAGAAAAGAAAATTACAAGGACTTTTTTAAAGGTCAGTTTTAAAAACAAAAGCATCTTCCCTAGAAACTTTTGTGAATTGTTTGCACTTGTGCCTGTTTTAAATTAAACTGAGTGTTCAAAACCTCGGACTTCCTGTTGTCTCTGGGAGTGGAGCTCAGTTGCCTTTGAATGGACACTCTGTAGTGGGTGTCTAGGTGGCCCTCCTCCTCCCCAACGGGAGCTTCCCAGTGGCCACGCAAGTCCACAGAAAACCCAACTCCCTGGAGGTGTGTGGGCAGAGAATGGGGGAAACAGGAAGTGAAATACCCTTGGGCCTGAAAGAGCTGGGAACGTTTCCTTCCCCGGGAGAAGAGCCCAGCCACGCCCAGGGCCCAGTGTCCGGCTTGCTGGCCCTACATGGGCTCTGGGGGCAGCCACCAGGGCTGATGACCACTCTCTGCAGCAGCTTCTCCCTCCCCGGAAAGTCACAGGCTGCTCTCCTCGAGCCGTCCCTAGGAAGGGCCTGGCACTGCTTGCAATGAGAAAGCTGTCTCTGTTTTGAGGGAGACAGGAGTTTTGATAGCGCAGTGGCTGGAAATTAAGAAACGCAAGTTCTAGTCCTGGGATTGAGGTGAGTGGATGAAATTATCTTGAAAGTTCTAGCTCTGACACTGACTCCAGTACTTAACTTCTTGAGAGTTAAGAGCTAGAAGCATCTTACCGCCTAACCCAGGGCTCACTGAAACCTCCTAACCAGGAGCAAGGGGCCATGCAGACCATCTCCGGCTCCCCATAGCATTCCCAGCTAGATAGCTGCCCTGGTCCGAGGGCCCTAGTGCCACCAGCTCAGCCGGAAACAGCACCTGAGTCTGACCTGGAGGCAGCCACAGAGGGAGGGGCAGACACGGAGGCAAGTGTACCTCCGCACCTCTCCAGAGGGAGCCCACAGTCAGGAATGGTTGGTAAGGCAAAGAGAGGCCAGTTCTTGAAACTGAACAATACTGGATTTATTATTCTTTTGAGTTCTAATAGTCCTTCCCCCACACAGTGTCACCCCAAAAGCATGTGCATACATCAGTTAGCCTCGCACAGACCAGTGTTCTGAGTTTGATCTTAGAGGACCAGACTCCAGTGGCATGGGTAACGCTTCACAATGACAAAAGCAACGAGGATCGGAAAAGCAAAATGTTTAGAAAGTCTCTTCTAAAGTGGAGAGAGCTAGAGAGGACCCCAGCCCCAACGCCCTTGGGGCTGACAATGAGTGGAAGTTCAGGAAAGCGAATGTGGTGAAACGTTTAAGTTCTGCACGGAGCTGGGCCTGGTAAGAAATCTGCAAGAACAGCAAGTCAGTCGGACACACAATTCAGTTCAGGCAGGAACAATCGGCTGTGTTTTTCAGAAACATCACTTTCAACCACCCAGCCCTGGGCAAATCCAGGGAGAGCAACCCTCATGGCTGCTCACCCAATAAAGAGGGCGCAAGGTGACATTCAACCAAAGTCCCGCCAGTGACACTTGAAAGATACAGCACCTTCAACACAATGTGCAACCCAGACCTCATGGTGTTTTGAAGCCAAAAGGCTTGTATTCTTACGCCATTAGAAGTTTCATGAAAATTAAACACAGTTGGAATAAGTGAGCAAGCAAGGATCAGAAAAAAAGGAGTTTGCACTTGGGGTGTCCAATTACCCCCATCCCTCCCCAGACCCTCTCCCTCTAGCTTTTCAGGAGCTTCTGTATTGTTTACCCACCACCCAGACAGCGGGACGAAGGGAATCCCAGCAGATGTTTGAGAAGAAAGAAGTGAGGAAAGGGCACAATGCCCCCCAACAAAAGCAAAGCTCATCAGAAAAAAACAACAGTGCATAATCGGTAGGTCCCCAGGTTCAGCGGTCGGAAGGGAGGGTTTGGGGGCTCCAGTTTTTCAGAAGACAGCAGGACCGCTCCGGACACAGAACCTTAACTTGGAAGATCTTGGGGTCTTTAATGACGGGTCTGGGTTTCCCGCTACTCCAAATGCGAAGTGTTTGTTCACTGTCCCTCACTGCATTGCTGTGAAATGACTTCAAGTATAAGGATTTAATATACTTCAAGAGTTTGAGGATTCCATGGGTAAATGCACACGGAGGGAGAAGTAGACAGCGGCGACCCCAAATAAAACTTGGAAGTCCAAACTCCGAACTAGGGCGCAGCGAAGAGAGCGCAGCGCTGCCACCAGGGGGCACCAGAGATCGCGTCCAGTGTAGGGCCCTGGCGGCCTCACGGGCCTGGAAAGGCGGAAGGATTGGGGAGTTATCTGACAGCTACCCCCACATGACCCGCTCCTCACCCCCAGGCCCAATTTCTCAGCACAGGTCATTCTCTCCTTGGGCAGTTCCCTTAGAGTTACTGGTGAGAAACCTTCCGTTCTGCAAAGACGAGCAGATCGACGTCATGCAAAGACCCCTCTGCTGGTAAAAAAGGGGGTGCAGTTCAACCTTCGGGGTTCACAGAAAGAGCCCCCACGTGCCTCTACCAGACGGGCTAGGTGCACAGATACAAGCGCTAGCGCTCCCGCAGGGTCCTAGAGCTCGCGATTCGCCACACCCGCCTAGGCGGCGAGGGAGGGAACAGAACGAGGACCGGGCCGCAGGGAAGGGGCTTTTAGCTTCCTCTCTGCGGTTGCCTCTGACTCACTAATCTGCCCAGCAATGAAGCGGGGCCGGGCCTGCGTCCCACGCGTTGGAGCAGAAGCAGGGGTCCTTGGTCTCGACTTCTAGCATCCATCATCCGCCCAGCCCTCCATTAACAGCCCAGCGAGAGGCAGGAGCCTTTTAACAGCCCCCTCCCGGCTCTCGCCGGAGTCTGATGTAATTTAAACCCGGGCCTGCGGCTCGTGTGGGCTTCCGACTCCCGCGCGCCGCCGTTTAACGTGGCAAACACTTCAAGTCAATTATCCCCCTCGCGGAGCTTCTATTTAAAGAGACATTGTCAGGTTCTTAAGCCCGGATCAGACCTGCTGCTTTCTGCTTCATATACAAAGGCCCAAAACACCAGCTCTTCGAGGATTGGAACAAATACAATTAAGCAAAACCTTCGCAACCGTTTCCACCGGCAGGAGCACCCACGGTGGGGGATGCGGGAGCTGGGAGGCGGTGGGGGCGGGAGAAGTGCTTAAGTCCTTTTCATTTCAGGCCTCTGAGAGTGAAAGGAAATAGGCTGGGCCAGGAGGGGCGAGACCTCAAAGAGGAGACTCAAATGTAGCAGAGCCTGGGGATGGGCTGGGTGGGCGCTGGCTGGGGCAATGACCACGCATTGTCAACCACGTTGAATTCTGGGTGGGCCTGGGTCAGAGGTGGAGGAACTGCAATTACCCAGAAGCTGGTTCCAGGGACAAAAAGCATTCAACACCCCGGGCTCTGCCACTTCCAAGATAGGCTTTCATTGCCCTGGGGCAGGAGTGTCTCCCCAGGAAAACTTAACCTTTTGATTCTTTCCTAATCAGCCCTAGTCTCTGAGGCCCACCTAGCTGCTCCCCTTCTCCAACTTAAGGGAATGGAAAACTTAGGTCGTGCGTGGTATGATTGTCAGCATGGGGGGGGGGGGAGGTGGCGGTGCTAGGCCCTTGTACAGGTTCAGTCTTCAGGCCTGGCTGCCCGGGTGTGGGGAAACCTGACAATGGGAAGGAGAACAGGCAGGAGCCACAGACTCAGGACGGAGCCCTAGGGTGGGGGCTGGGGGGAGGTCCATCTTCCTGGGAAGCTATAGCCCATGGTACCAGCCTTTCCAGACAAGAAATGCAGGCTGTAGGGAAGGTGGGACTAGGCAGGGAATACCAAAAATACCAACAAGCACAAAAAAGAAATAATAGGGGTCCCTTTCAGAGAGAAGGCCACTCCTCTCGGCAGTGGGGTCCGATGGGAGGGGAACTGCCAGGAAAGAGAGGCCCTGGAAGGAAGAGAAATCCCAGTGGAGCAGAGGCAGGCAGGTGCAGGGAACTCGGCTCGTCCTCTATGCTGTTTACCGCTGATCATGCAACACCACGGCCTCCTCCGTGCCCGCCTGCCAAGGCTGGGGCCCAGGCGTCGAGTGCGGCACAGCGTTGGCCTCTAACTCCGGGCCGCTCTCGGACCCCGGTGCGTCCCCGACCAGGCTGGGGATGTCGGGAGCCGTGGAGCGTCGGCGCAAACCCAAGCGGCCGGAGCCCGGGCCGCCCTCGGGATGCG